ACGCGTTTCAAAAAGGCAGGGCATAGAGGAGAAACAATAATGTACAGTATGTGGAAAATAATGTGTTTTTCTAACTTTAAACCGCATAAACACATTTCATTACACCAAATACACAAAATAATGTTCTTTTTAGCAGCATCATATGACCCCTTTAAATATAAATCAAGGTTACAGTGAGGCACTTATAATGCCGGTGAATGGGGCCAATTTTTGAAAGATTTAAAAGCAGAAATGTGAAGTTTGCAATTTTATAAAAAGGACTTATTTTAATTCATATATTAATTCATGTGTAAAAGCTTGTCTGTTATTTGAGCTGTAAAGTTGTTTAAATCATTTTTTAGGGATCATGATATTTTGTTGTCATGGCAATACATTAACATTAAATATCACATTACACAGAAATGTTTAGTAAAAAATTGTAATTCTTTTTTAAAGGCTTGGCTATTATTTGACCAGTAGAGTATTCTAATTTATAAGTTTCATAATTTTTACAGTTGTTTTAGGGTTTATGGTGTTTCGTTGTCATGGTAATGAAGTAAAATTGAATAAATTATACAAAGAAAAGGTTAGTAAGCATAATTAATTCTTGTTTGAAAGCTTTGGTATTTTTTGAGCTGTAAAGTTTTTTAAATCATCAATTTTCAAACATTTTATTTTAGGGTTTATGGTGTTTCGTTGTCATGGCATTTAGGTAAAATGGAATAATAACGTTACACAGAAAAGTTTAGTAAACATTTTTTAATCACTAAAGTCATGTTAACATATTTTTTGTCTCGTGGCTGTATTTTTAAAACAGTTGGTATTTTAACATTTAAAAATGGGCCCCATTCACTTCCATTGCCGTTGCCTCACTATAACCCAGATTTATTTTTTTAAGGAAATGGAGGTTGAAAGTAATTTTTGTGGTAATCAATATTCAGCTTGATTAAAATCTAGAATATTCCTTAAAAGCCAAATATTTAAAAGTAATAAAATGTAAACCCTGAACATCAGGAAATCTCACAACTTTATTTCAACCTTTTAGTTGAATGTGACGGTGAAAATACAGTGTAGTTGAGAAATTCAGTTGAAGTAACACCATTCAGGATGTTGTCTTTTTTTTTTTTTTTGCAATTTCACCTCATTTGTATCCACAGGTTTCAAGAGAAATTGTGAAAAAGTGTTACAATTGAACGTCTCACCTTGATGCCCTCGATCCGGAAGCCAAGCATGGCGGTGGAGCTTATGGTTTCCCTCCACTGCATGTAGCGCGGCTTAGTGACCGCTTTCTGTTCATGCTCCTGTGCCGTGGGCGCATCGGGGTCCACCTCGATCATCTTTTGGTACATGTCAGCTCTCAAGCTGGGCTTCTTCCTGGCTTTCGTCAGTTCTTCTTCCAAATACGTCCTGCAAGAGAAGAGAAAAATGGCCCAATGGCTCAGTTTCTTTCACTTAACTTGTTGCATGTGTTGCATCATCAATTCAATTCTGTTGAAATTCGAAGTGCGCAATAAAATGCAGTTCATCTTATTAGCTAAAGGCATGATAACTAAATATTTTTTCTCCTTTTATTCTCCAACTTGAGTTGTCTTGGAAAACACTGCCGCAGAAATTGAAAAGTGCACTGAATGTGCGTGAATCTGAAAGTGTCGCATTGTTTTGTTTGGACAGGCCAGCAGAGGTTCTGTTAATATCCTGACCATCTGGTTATCTCTATATTTGTCCATGGCTGCTGCTGTGATTCAGTCAGGCATGCAACAGCAAACAGAGTAGTCTCAGGAACAACAGAGATGAGAAAGTCGAGCCGTGAGAGAGGAGAAAAAAAGTGATGAGCGATGTGTATCAAGGTCTCCCTGCACCAGCCACAAACAAGCACAGCTATCTTTCAGCAGATTAGAGGACACAGAGCTGCTCCTCTGCTGAGTCTCTGGGGAGGGAGGTCCTGCTTCATGTTCTGTGGTGCTTGGAATGTATAACATCTGTACAAATAATGGCTCAATGGAACTATTCATTTTAAAATATCATACTAGATTTTCAGCAGTGGACACGCTGTTGCATAAGTGTAAGATAAGACAAGATGAAGATTCTTAGCAGGGATTCTGGAGTACTTTATCTTCTATATCTTTTATTAGTGATTTATTGATTAATCTCTCTCTCTTCTTTCAATTTTTTTTATTATACACAAGAGAAAGAAACTGTTTTCAATTTGAACTCTTTATAAGAATTTATAAAACATCATAGATTGAATTCTAAGCTTCAGTATTAATTTTAGTCATTTTAGTACTTAAACTTATTTTATTTTATTTTTAGTTAGTTGCCAAAGCATTTGCAACATTTCATATTTTAATCTAAGTTAGGTTTAGGTAAATTTCTTCATGTAATATATATATATATTTTTTTTTATGTCAGCCTTATTTCAGTTAATGGAAAAAAGTGTATAGTTATCATAGGTTTACTTCAGCTGAGCTAGAAGTTGAAGTTGAAACTCTAAAGTTACAAGGATATGCAGTCAGAAAGCATTAATAAGTGGTTACTAAGGTGTATTCTGGGTGGTGCTTAGAGTGTTATGGGAGGTTTCTAGGGTGTTACTTACAGTGGTGATCTGGGTTTGTAGAGTGTTGCTATGTGGTTTTTAGGCTGTGTCATTTCTAGGGTGTTATAGGTGAGCTCTGGATTGTAACAAGGGTGTTTTGGATCTTTCTAAGGTTTTCTGGGTGGTATATTGTTTAGATTTTTGTATAGTAAAAGATCAGGTGAGGCAGTGCAGCATCACAATCTCAGCAACCGACCTGACGCCCATCTTGCAGTCCATGACACAGGGTAGGTCAAAGTCTGCCAGCAAATCCTCCATCTGATTGTACCGCTCTCCATCCTTCTCTACATCTCCGTGGTAAGCAGGAACGTAGGGCTTTAGCACGTCTCTCATTAGCCTATCGAGACATTGCTGCTCACACTCACAGTGTTTCTTCAGGATGCGACCATTGGCCCCTGCCTTGAAATTGCCTGTGTAGAGCAAAGACAAATGTCATAGCATTGCATTCTCAGCATTACCACATGGAGTGCTGTAGTGAGCATTAGCATAAACTAACTTTCTACTATTGTTTTTTTTTTCTTTTAGATTCAAAGCAATTCACAATACTCTGTGTTTTGAGTGTATTAACTATCTGTGATTCATGAAAAGTAGCATCTACACCTCTCTTTTGAGGCCTACCTGCATGGCCAGCCAGCTGGATCCAAGGGTACTTTTTCTTGAAGGACATCACAAATGGTGACCAGTGCACCATGTTCTTGATCTTCTTCCATGATTTATGCTGTTCAATGACAAAAAGTGAGCAAGATGAGTCCCCATTTAAATGCAAGTGCTACAACAGTGACAGCAGTCTATTTTAAACAGCAGTCAGCATTTTAAAATTTCAAAATATTATGCATGCAGTTTTTATGACCTTGCATTATTTGAGAGTGTAGATGGTGTATTTATACTTTTAAAAAAATCATTTGTCATACAGCAAGATGAACAATACTTAAACTCTGCTTTTTTATCTTTGTTTAACAGTCATTATTCATATATATATATATATATATATATATATATATATATACAGTAAATATATATATATATATATGCAATGCACATTGGCATGAGATAATTGCATCCAGCTGCTGTTCGTCACGACACGAGCATAAGAAGGCAGCAGGTGCAACG